CCGAGTTTTAGGCGCGACGAACCTTCGGCCGGGGCGGGGCGGGGGGCGGGGGGGGGGGGAGGGGGCAGCGATGCGGTGGCTGGGGGCCGTGGGCGGGCGGGAGTCGGCGCGGGGCGGCCGGGCACGGGAGCAGCGGGGGGGTGGGCGGGGGGCCCTGTGGGGTCGGTCGGCAAGCAACTTGAGAGGTGGAGTCAGCTGAGGCTGGCGCTCAGTGGCGCTGGAGCGCTAGGTGGAGGCGGGGGTGAGGGCGGGGAGCGAGGGGGTCAAGGCTCTGAGCAGTTCTCGTGGGTAAGATGCAGGATTAAACGGCATTTCCGCGGCGCTTGCCGCGGTTTGCGTTGATGTGAGAGTTGTGAGGGCAATGCAAGTGCGCGGTACAGGTAGGGGTAAGGGGAAATAGAATTGTGTACGGTAGAGTCTGTGGTCACAAGATGTACATGAGTAGGAAAAGGGTGGTGGGACGAGATACTAAGCCTACAAGATGAATAATGGTCATGGGTGGACGGGCGAGGGGCGTAGGGCTTTGAGAACGAGGTAAAAAAGAGGAGCGGTGGAAGGTAGAGAAATTTGTAGAGCTAAAAGATATGTTAGTATCTGATCGCATACTCGCTCGCTGATTTGTGAGCGAACTAGACATAGCAGCTTCATTGTCGGGCGGAATATTTATCCATTGTAAACAGAGGACTACAGCTAGGTGTTAGCGTCTATTACTTCTAGAAATGGTACTAAACTACGACTAAAATTTGTAAACGGAGCAACACCAACTTGCTCCATACTATCTTGCTGTGCACACTCTTCACAGGTTGTCAGTAAAACTAGTCAATCTCTGTACGTGCTGGCAAGAATTACTAGCTATCACATTGCCAGGTAGTATCAGAGTCCATATAGACTGTTTGTTATAGGGCGAATACGTGTGCTGAGTCGGGTGGGGACTGTATCAAAGCGAAACTAAAAAAACAGCACAACAGATAAATCATAGCCTATGGTAAATTGCATCTGTTATCATGTTGATGCTTGCTGAACAAACATTCTGGTGACGGTCTCGTCACGTTCCGTACTGCGACATGATCGGGCGCGACTGTAAGTCTCTTTTGTAATAGTATGTGAGGATCCATAGTCCCAAGTAACAAAGAGATGGAATCTTAGTTTTACGTTGGACTTGGGATCCTTAATGACTATTTAAAGAGACCTGTTACATAAATAAGGCAACGTTGAGCAAACATCAATCAGCATAAAAATTCATGTTAACTAATATAAATTGACACGTCATTCCAGATCTCTTCTATCGAACTTGCAGTTAGGTAATAATCGCATATCAGGGTTCAAATTTTATATACGGCACCGACGGCAGGTGTTATATGGTCGGCATTTTACTTTGATACGGGGATGCTCGAATTGGCTTATTCCAAGGTAATAATATGGGATCGGTAACAATTCAAACGTTCAATTGAGCGATTGATTGTTCGAACTGGAACAGTCACATGTAATCATTCAAACGTTCATGATCGAGAATTGTTCATTGAAACAGTCAATGTTAAATCATGCAACGGTGAAGTGTCGATGGATTGTTATTGATCGATTGAGTGTTAAATTGAACAGTCGCTTATATTTAAACGTGCATTGAGCAATTAAATAAACGAATTGCAAATTGAATCGCGATGCGAATGACGAATGACAAATCAAAGCACGAATACTGATAGGGCGTATTGAATCATGGAGGGAGCAATTGCGAGATGTCAATCGCCAAATCAAACGTAGACTACGCACAGGGCACAGCAGGCATGACGAGTTGGCGCGGTAGCGCGTACGTGGCCTAGGAACGCAGATCGGCCGGGGTTCCCAGCCATAGTGCGTGTACCCGCGTGTACGTGCGTGGCGTGCGGTGTACCCGCGAGGGACGTGGTTACCCGCGGGTAGTGGCGGGATCTAGTGTGTACGTGGGTACCCGCGTGTACGTGCGTCGTACCCGGCGTGCTCGTGGTGTATCTCCGTGTACCGCGTGTACGGCGTGTATCTCCGTGTACCGCGTGTACGTGCGTGTACCTGCGTGTACGTGCGTGTTACCTGCGTGTACGTGCCGTGTACCGCGTGTACGGGCGTGTAACCCGCGTGTACGTGCGTGTACGTGCGTTACGTGCCGTTACCCACGCGGTACACGCACGTCACGCAGGTACACGCAGATACACGCCGTACACGCGGGTACACGCCACTGTACACGCAGATACATGCACGACACGCGGGTACAGCGCACGTACAGCGGCTACACGAGCACGTCACGCGGGTACACGCACCGTACACGCAGCGTACACGACTGCGGGTTACACGGAGATAACGCCCGTACACGCGGGTATCCCGCAGGGTACACGCAGGGTGACACGCAGATACAGCGCCGTACACGCGGTACATCGCACGTACACGCAGATACACGCCACGTACACGCCGCGTACACGCACGTGCAGCGCAACGACGACGCGGGTCCTACACGCACCGCAAGTACACGGCACGTACACCGACGTACACGCAGGCCGTTACACGAGACCACCATACAATACGCACGACACGCGGGTAGCAGTACGTACACGCGGTATCGTAGCGTGCATCGGAGCTACACGCACGTACGCACAGGTAACGCCACGTACACGCCCACACGCACGTCACGACCAGTACACGCACTACACGCACGTACACGCACGTACACGGACGGATACACGCAAGATACACGCGGATGGCACGCACGTACACGCGGGTACCAGCCACTACACGCGGTACACGCACCTACACGCAGGTACACGCAGATACACGCAGGACACGCGGTACACGGAGATACACGCACGTACGCGCGGTCACGCACGTAACACGCAGATACACGCAGTACACGCGGGTACACCGCACGTACACGCGGTACCCGCACGTGCACGCCGGGTACACGCAGTACACGCGGCCGGTACACGCACGTACACGGCGGAGTACACGCAGCTTAGCTGGGAAACGGCGGCGCGATTGCGTTCCTAGCAACCGTACGCGCTACGCGCGCTTCCGTCATGCCTCTGTGCGCATGTGCAGCTAGATATATCGCTTGATTTGGGGCGACTTGAGGAGCTTCGCAAATGCCGATTCCGATGAATTTCAATACGAGGCCTATTCAGTATTGAATTCGTGCCTTTGATTTGTCAATTCGTCAATTCGTCAATTCGCGATTCAATTTGGCAATTCGTTATTAATTGGCTCAATGAGAACGGCGTTGAATGATTAAACGACTGTTCAAATTGGAACAATCAATCAATCAAACTTGAACAATCGATCGATAGATTGAACGTTTTGAATGATTAAATGATTAGTTCTAATTCGAAAAACAATTAGATCAATTGAACGTTTGAATGTCATTAAATTGACTGTTCAATTGAACAAATCAATCGATCAATGAACGTTTGACTTGGGCGATTGACGAGCTTGGCAATTGCTCGAGATCCATGATTCAATACGCCTATTCAGTATGAATTACGTGCCTATTTGATTTGTCAATTCGTCAATCGTCAATTCGGCGACTTCATTTGGCAATCGTTATTTAATTGGCTCCAATTGAACGTTTGAATGGATTAACGACTGTTTCAATTGAACAATTCACATCAATTGAACAATCGATCGATACAAGTTGAACGTTTGAATGCATTAAATTGATAAGTTCCAATTGAACAATCAATAGATCAATTGAACGTTGAATAGATAATTGACTGTACAATTGAACAATCAATCGTCAATCTGAACGGTTTGAATGATAAACGACTGGTCAATTGAACAATCAATCGTATCAATTGAAGCGTTCTGAATCTTTGACACGAATTTTACAGCCTCCCATAATAAAAATCGGAGTGATAGTTATCTAATCTATCTACTATCTATCTATATTATCTTACTCCTGATAAAATGCCATGGCTGCGGCTATACGTGGCTTGCTTCCGTGCCCTTCCCATAAATTCCATGTTGTATCACCCTCCTCTAAATTCGACCCAGACTCTTTGCACCCTGGATCTCATGTTACTTTCCGAGTTCAGTTCTGGGTCACGGATACGCTGCGGACGCGATCAACAACGCGCTACAAGGACAGTCCAACCACACGAGTATTACAGTACGTACCATGAACCACGTGCGTGCCCCCAAGATTACACGACCGCGCGTGTTTGTCTAATACCATGTATCTATGCGTACATCATCTCTCACTCGCACCTTCTAACGCACAGCAGCGCATGCAAATGCAAATGCAAAGGTCAATGATTGCACGAGCTACAGACGTTTGCTCTCATCGCGACGCGTCGGGCCATGCACGTTGCATACTAATCTATCGCAATGCAATCTGCTTGCATACTAAAATCATACATACATACATACATACATACATACACACATACACGCACGCACGCACGCACGCACGCACGCATACAATAATATAACCCAACACGAAAGTAGGGGGCTTGTGTTGGGTTACATTATTGTATCTAACTAAAATCATTGCATGTAGACAGTTGAAGCAATCGAATGTGTGGTAAGTATAAGTTCTGCAGATGATTGTGCGGGAGCGCAAACCAGCAAAACACAACACATCCTTAGAGCTACGTAGCGCAAACTACAGGCATGCATACACGAATACACGGAAATTACTTGTTTATGGTACGTATATATATATATATACCTATGTATGGACATACTCGTTATTAAAGGTACGGGATGTGTTAATTAGAACATGGTTTTAAGTAAGACTACTTAAATCTACTCCTGTATACATAATTAGACATATCACCTTCTCGCCTCTCACTACGCAAAACAGTCGTAGAGCATGGTTAAATAACTAATATTATGGTTATATAATAGACTAATCAATAAACATAGCGTAATCAGAAACAAATCAGCAACATAAAGTTCAAATTACCAAGTTATAATTTGTAATACACTGTAGTTATCACCATTCTAAAAAACACAATGTGACCACTATGGTGACTACAAACCTCTCCTGATGAATTCCAAGAGAGAGCTGTGCAGTATGAAGCAGGCGATCGGGTACGCGAGCTTCCTGCGCGCGTGTACGCACACCGATAATCACAAAACACAACCTAACTACAATATCTGCCTTTCACGCATACGTTACCTACTCTTGCACTCTTATTTTCCGCGAGGCACGGCCTTGACACACCTCCATCATTGGCCAATGAGAGCCAGGAACCATTAAACCCACCCCCGTAAATGGTGGCGCCACCCAACGGACAGGAGATACGAAGGCAACAATATACATGTGCAATAAGTTTGTATATATAAATATATATAATATAGGCACATAACAGTAGCCTTCTGGCAAGTGTTCACCATTGCACTATCTCGTTTCTGGAAAATGCCCTTTTCTCATATTTTGCGGTAATATTCGGCACTAGAGACTAGAGTGCACTAATTTAAAATATGCACATAATTAGCTATGTCCTATGGATGTCTACAAAGCATAAAAAGTGAGAGTGGTTTTTTCGTGTAATTGTGCTATTCTGTCAAGTGACACCATGGTCACAGACACTTCAAACATTTCAATAATAAAATGATATTAAATAAACACAATGTATTTACTACCAAAGTTTCGATGTTTATGTATATTCTCTATCGACTAATAATTCCACTTAAATGGCGTTCAAATACTCTTTTGCAACACGCAACCTCATCCCAGGCATGCCACTGTGCACAAACAACAGAAATATAGAGCAGGTGGGAAAGCGTGAGCACCAAATTCGCACAACGCTTGCTTCATTTCATACCATCACAGCAAAATACACAGACAACCACCTCCACTCTGGTAATTCACTTGTTCGAATTATAACTCTTGCAATTTGGTTCTGAACACTTTACCAGAGAAATCTGGTATATTCCTGAGAAAAACTCCAATTTTACTGCAACGTATATGGGAGCAACTGCTTGTTTATACACGAGCAGTGCTGCCACATTGCATTCTGGGTTCAAGCGCTCCCTGCTTCTGAGCTCCATGACGAGGACCGCCAAGTCAAACTAGCATATATATATTCGAACAGGAATGACGTCACATACATGACTACGTTCATTGGCCAAACTATCGAGTAGCGCGGTTAGGGAGTTTCGGATAATAAACAGGCAGTTGCTCCCAATAACAGTGCCATGGAGTGGGAGTGTTCCTCATGAATTTACCCTGGGGGGGCACTCACCCAACATTATGGTATAGGTATGTGCCACTGCGAAGTCAAAAACGAGGGGCTCTGGAACTAACTCAGACCTGAAAATGGGGGTCTCTGGAACTAACTCAGACTTGAAAATGGGGGTCTCTGGAACTAATGTTTGTTGTATGTGGGATGCTCTGGAACTGGCTATGTTCGAAAATGTAAACTTGTGATGCTCTGGAACGAGATATTCTTAAAAATGCGATGCACTGGAACGGAAGTTTAGGGTGAAAAGGGGGGTCTCTCTCCCGCGGCCGGCACATACCTACCATGCAATATATATATGGAGTGCCCCCCCCTGGGAATTTACCAGATATCTCTGGGTAAATTAAGTTGTACCAAATCGCAAGTGTGATAATTCAAACAAATGAACATTCGGCTATGCATAGATACCAAAGGGGAGGTGGTTGATTGTGTATTCGTGCTGTGGTGGTGTGAAACGAAGCGAGCGTTGTGCGAATTTGGCGCTCTCCCACCTGCTTTCTGTTGTTTGTGCACAGTGGCACAGTGGCATGCGTGCACTGAAAATATATGATGCAGAGCAGCATTTGAGCGGAATCTAACGGAAATTATTACTTATAATAGGCGAAAAAGAGTAGAGAACTATTAAGACCTTGGTAGTAAATACATTTCGTGTTTATACTATTTATATTATTTACCATCATTTTATTATTGAAACGTTCCAAGTGAGTGTGGCCATGGTCACCGGTCCCGCCGTTTTCGTGTTTGAAGTGGAATTCGAGTTATCCGACTACTTACTGCAAATGCATACATTTAGCTAGCAAGGTTCAAACAGAGTCTGGACCTTGAATATGTGGTTTACCAAGGTACCATATAAGATAATACGACTGAGTATATAATCAGGAGCGAATACAAACAAAATTGGTTTTATTCACTCCGTATTATAATATGGCAAAAGGCATCAGATAGATAAAATGGTTGTCGAGCTGCATAATTAGATAAAAGTTACGTCCGTTTGCAGGGATACAACTATGCGCATCTCCATCTGTGTCTGTGAGTGTGACTGTGAGTAGCACAGGCACTTGAAACAGTTCAATTCAAATGCTCCTCTGCGTCACACACCACAAGTCTGCATTACCAGTTTTTACTCTAGTATAATTTTGTTGTTTGTGCACAGCGGCATGCCTGCGGTGTACTTTTTAAAATTGTGTATTGCAGAAGAGCATTTGAACACCATTTACAGGAAATTATCAGTAATAATAAGCAAAAGTGAGTAAAGAAACATTGAGACGTTGGTAGTAAATGAATTTTGTGTTTATTTACCTTCATGTTATTATTGAAACGTTCCAAGTGCCTGTGGCTGTGCCTGGCTGTTGCGAGTAGCAAGAGCCAAGACAATACAGGGCGCGACAAACCCGCTTGCCCGGGGCAACCAAAATTCGCCCCCGGGCAAGTAGCTTGAAATTGCACTTGCCCGATCGGGCAAGCAATTTTTTTTCATTGAATGTCCAGACATAATGATATTTTTCTGTTTCCACCCATCCCTTGCATTGTTTTGCACAGACACAATATTGCGCTACCTTGCTGCGACAAGATTTCAATGAAAAAACAATGCGAATGAACCAATCGGTGGATACAGTGATATACACAACATGCACACAGCAACATGTAAACCCGGCCCCCAGGCCAGGCATGGTCATTACGTTTTACGTGATCAGCGTAAATCTCAAACCTCAAATGTTTGCCCCTCTACTGCAACCTGTGAACGAGGATTTTCTTTGCTGAAGTACACAAAAACAGATAGGGGCCTACACTGTATACTGTGCTGTCAGTCTATTATATCTGCATGCATGCACAGCTATATTCTCTGCGCTTACGATCCAGCCCCAAATAAACCTGAACATATTTTATTAATTTATTGGGAGTGTGGTGGGTTTTTGATAATAAACCGACACTTAAAAAATTTACAAATTTAAACAAACTGCGTGCTGTGTCCCAACATGAATATATTTTGTATATAAACTCGTATCAGCTGTTCAACTTTCGAATTCTACCGTGCCGTTAAGTGAAATGCTGGATGTTGTAGTTGGACCTTCATTTACATTATTTACCATTTAAATTCATATTAGAAAAAAAACCCTTATATGTATGTCTTTATGTTTTTCGGTGCAAGTGATTTGCCTCCGGCGCCAACGCATTTTCATAGGGCTCTAAGTAACTATAGCGCGTAACATTTGCCAGCGGCAAGACGTCCGCGGGCTATCAGTTAAACATAGAGCTACCATTTATTACAGTCCAGCGAGCACAATCGTTCCATACTCTGATTATCAATTTTTCAGCATGCCTGAGCACAGCAGCTTGAACGTTTCAATAAAATATAATGCTAAATATGAAATCTAATACTACTACTAGTACTAGTAACTGCACAAATCTTTAAGTGTTTTCTAAACTCATCTTTCACCTTTGAGGCTATTATGTGGCCGCAGTAGTTCCTGTCAATTCCGTGTAAATGCTGCTATGCACACACACTACCCACGGCGCCATGGCTGACTGTGCACAGTGACTGTTAATTATTATCTAAGGCAGGTAGGCAAACGGCTACGAACTCCAATCCGCTTCAAAACGGGAGAAAAAAAAAAGAGAGACACCGGTGAATCCTTCACATGGGCAGGGTGTTACAGCATCCAAGCACACAACATTATCTACTTCGCATCCTTTGTTGTCAATTTGCACAACAGTGATCAACTATGTTTAGAGAATTAATAGACTGTCTCTGTTCGTATTCACGCGACTCGTCAACGTGCGATATCGGCAATACCTGGCCGACTTCGAGCGTACGCGTACTGGAAGAACGTGCGCAGGTCAATTAATGTCTGCAAGTACATGGCTATAGGCGGCGCATTGCATTTAGATAACAACCAGCCGCTGCTTTCAACTCTGCCCGTAACGAGCCTCGCCATTGGAAAGCGTTGGCAAAAACATTCCCCATGTTGCGGCTGGCACGAATGACGCAATAGCGCCGCTAGGTGTTTCTGATTCCGGCAGACATTTTACATTGACTCGCGCAACGTTCGCGACACGGGCTCAAAATTTCGCCAAGTGTTTATTTGCGATATCGCGTGACAGAGTTCGGCGTTACGAACAGAGACGAGGTCCTATATTTTCTAACAAGTGATCACTGTTGGTTGCATTGAAGCACGACAAAGATGGAGTCCAAATGGTTGTGTATTTGTTGTGCTGCAATCACTGTGAAAATTCACGCGGAGTGTCGAGGCGGCGATGGAGTCGAGCGCTTTCCTACGCTCGCTATATATTAACAGTCACTAGTGCACGGACGAGGCAGCTTGAAAACCGTTTCAATTAAAATATATATGCTAAATAAATTACGAAATCTAATAACAGTAGCTACAAAGATTCTTGAAGTTTCATAATACTCTCATTTCACGGGGACGTCTATTATTGGCGACGAGTGTTTCTGTCAAGTTCCAGTGTAAATGGCTCTATGCACCCCACTAACACCGCCATTGCTCAATGTGCACAGTGTAACCTGTTAATATATACGTTGGGCAGGTAGGAAAGCGCTCGACGGCTCCAAATCACCGCTCGACGCCGATGAATTTCTACACGATTGGACAGAGACAATAGACAACTATTTAGAGCTGCCATCTTTGTTTCAATTTTCAACAGCGTGTTCATTTGTTAGAAACATAGACTGTCTGCTGTTCGTAACAGCGGAGCTCTGTCACGGCGGAAATCACGAAAAAACACTGGCGAAATCGAGCGTCGCAGGTAAGCAGTTGCGCGGTCATGTAAATGTCTGCCGGAATCCAGGAAACACGCTAGGCGGGCGCTAATTGCGTCCTTCGTGCGCCGCGCAACGCTGCAAACGTTTTTTGCACGGGCTCCAATGGCTGAGGCTCGTACGGGAGGTTAAGAACAGC